TATAGATAGATAGATAGATAGATAGATAGATAGATAGATAGATAGATAGATAGATAGATAGATAAGATCATTTTTGTACGTCAATGAATGCTTACACTGGATACTTTTTTTTTTTCCACTTGGGAAACAGGCCCACAGTGTCACAGGTCCTACACCATATTTGAAAGTGGTTTATCCATAATTTTAGGCTTTGATTTTGTGAGATAAATATCAGAGCTCATCTGACTAAAGCACCTAGTTTCACTTATTCTCCCTCTATGTCAACCGATGCAATGATCAAAACACAGTTGGCATCTATTGGTTGTTATGGAGGCTTGGTGATTTATGTCACTCTTCGTTGACACTCTCTAATAGTGAGACAAGGTAATATTTTTTATCTCCCTTACTTAGCCTTGCTTCTCTTTGGTTTGAAATCTAAGATAACGGAGGATGTGGATAACTAAGAAAAATAGGCTCCAATTTATGTAAATAATAAAAAAAATTGTTACATTATTTTAGGGTTTTGCTTTTTTTAAAACACGTCATGCGAATCAGATAAAGATGCATTTTAACGGGAAAAGAGAAAGGAATTGAAAGATTATGAGTAAATGTGAAGAACAAGCAATCACAGACTTTCATAAAATAGGAAAAGAAAAAGTACATTGCAGTAGAAACAGGGTGAAATGTGTTCCAGTGTTTTTGTTGTTTAGGCCTACAACCTGCAAAAAAGATCGAGCTTTTTTCATTCAACACCTGTTTTCCTCTCTGTGGTTAAGGTGGCAACATTTTACCTGCAATGCTAATATTTTGTTAAATTTTTTTTGGTATCTTATACAATATTGAAATATTATATATTGAATTATAAATGTGCAATAAATAATGGTTTTATGTATTGGCTGTTAGCAGCCCTTTTGTTTTTATTGGCCGTTAAAGTAAAATTCTGTACTTTTTAGTACTGGGTCACAAAGTTTTGGACTTTCCCTGCATGTTTGGTTAGTCTTGTTGAAACAGTGTGTCCTTGAAAAGCCACTGTGAAGAACAGCTTGTTATTTACACAAAAAGTAGTGATTGCACCAAACAGTTTATTCCTTTAAATGACAGTCATATGCAAGTGACCAGTACTGAAACGGACCTACGGAGCAGTTTGGTTGATACTTAACTTAAACATAGCAGTAAGTCTCCCTACCTGCCAAATTGATTAATCTGCATTTTCTAATGTATTTAATCACAGTACTCTTATTCTGTTTTTTTAGAAATGAAGTTCCATCATGCTGCTGCTTTTCTCTTCTTGGCATCCTTCTGCCATTGTGCTGTGTCCTGTCCTGCTTTGTGCAAATGCTACAGCGAAAGAATGGAGGTTGTATGCAGTGAGGTTCCCTTGATAGAGTTCCCAACAGAGGGCCTTCCGGAGAACACCACCATGCTGACTGTTCAGCTCACAAACATCACCTCCCTCTCTGAACACCACCTTAAAGCAACACCACATCTGCAAGAGCTCCATCTGTACGGAAATAAACTACAGAGCCTTTCTTCTCATCTGCTCAGAGGCGTTCCTCAGCTGCACACATTGGATCTGACAGAAAACAAGCTCAGTGATCTTCCTGTAGATGTCTTCAGCGATGCACCGCTTAAAAACTTGGTGTTAAAGAACAATCAAATTAAGCGAGTCGATGAAAAATGGCTTCCTGAAAATAGCAGCTTAACCTGGTTGGACTTGTCTGGAAACAGTCTAACAGAGATATCAGTTGGTTTCTTTCAGAGGCTCCCTCACCTCGAGAATCTTGACTTGTCAAACAATCAACTGGAAAAGATACCGGCAAACTCTTTGGAAAATCTGAGCAATCTCAAGAGGCTGAGCCTTCAAAACAACAAGCTTGAGACTTTAGACGCATCTGTGTTTCAGCACACAAAAAATCTCACTTCTTTGTTTCTCACTCAAAACAAGCTGAACTGGCTCCCACAGAACCTTTTTCAGGGACTTACCAGCCTCACACATCTCAGTCTGGATTTCAACCAGCTGAGCCACATCCCTATAGGTTGGTTTGATCCGCTGAGCTCCCTCGAGGAGAGTGGACTGGATCTGTCTCTAAATCCCCTGCGTTGTAACAGCCGTATTGAATACCTGTGGAGATGGCTTCAGAAGAACAAGAAGAAGGTGTTGTCGGTAGACAACATCATCTGTATGTTGCCTCAGTCTCTCACAGGGCGCCCAGTCATTTCCCTGACAGAAAATGATCTTAACATAGGGTCTTAATCCTCCTGGGGCTTGTAGTAATTTAATGTATACAAGTAATACTTCAGAACATTTTGTGATCCTGTTAAACTATAAGTTAGTAAAGCCACATGAGAAAAAAAACAGTGGCTGGAGCTAAAGTCTAGTCTGATAGGAGTTTGAAGCAGACCTGTACCCCTTCAAACAACTTAAGTCTTTAAGATACCAAAGCTAATTACTGCATGCTAATACTACTTAATGGGCCTTTATAAGATCATGTTTGATCAATTGATCATTTAAAACAAATCTAGTTTTTTGTTTTGTTTTTTTTTTACATGGGAAACAGGCTCTGCTCTATTCAGGATATTTCCATATAAAACCTAAACGTAATGAGCAAAGAATTTTCAATCATACTGTGTTACTAGTAGTAAAGAAGTTTAACAGTAACTGCAACAGGAAGAACTCTAGATGTTAGTTCTTATCGGATGCTTCGACACAGGATCATTGGAGGTTCACTGTCTGTTCACTTTCCTGTAAAAACAATTAATGGCTTTAGTGTTCATTTCTGTAATGTAAAGATTCATTAATTCATATGAAAATTTGTAAAAAATTTTTATGTAACTTTTTAATCTGGACACAAAGTTATTCACTCTGTATGACATTTTAGTAAAACCTTACTTCTAACATCTGTGTTAATCCCTTAAGCATCAATTTTATCAATAAATACCTGATTAGATACAGTTTGGAAGTCACTGTGTTTATTTGTGGATAACTTTTTTTTAAGTCATGTTTTCTGAACATATATATATATATATATATATATATATATATATATATATATATATATATATATTTGTTTTTTTTTTTTTTTTTTTTTTCCAATTTTTTCCAATTTTTTTTAATGTTCCGGTGAGGTTTAAAAATACCATTCCAAAGTAAGAAACCTTTGAACAGTCTATAAACATAGATCACATTTCCTTAAGCCCACATTTTTGCAATACATTTCTTTGTGTTGTTTTTTTTTTCTTGGTCTTATGTCATATTTTAATCATCTTAGCTCTTGGCTCTCAGTTGAAAATATTTATTAACAATAAGAAGAAAGTCTTCAAAAATAACAATTTTGGTGAAACAAAACTATATATGGTTAAAGTAAATATAAATGTAGTTCCAGAAACAACTTTATGTATCTACGTATATGTGTTTAAAGGTAGATCTGTCACAGGTAAGCAAAGCAAAGTTTTAGTCAACAGATTGTGTCTATTTTATTGAAGAAGGCAGACTAGGATTAACCTAACCATGTGCATGTCAAACGCATGTCTATATTTGATAGGTGCATGACAGTGGTTCTGAAATCTAACATAATCAGCCTTAATTAAGAACTTATTTTCAACATGTGGTAAGATAAAAAAAAAAAGCTGAGAATTTTAGCTTTTTTGTTTTTAAAATTCAACCTTAAATTACACATTAAAGTATTAAAGCATGAGGTGTTATGTTGTTACTGTTACCCAAACATCCCTGGTATAATAAGAAAATATATGAATTACCATATTTAATTTGTCCATGATTCTCATTTGCTGTCAAATGTTTGCAACAAGAAAATTTATGCATTGACATGTACAGAGGGTTATTCTGAGATAGTGTGGAAAATATATTGATTTGCAGAGCGACATTTTAGCTGTTACAAAGTACAGCAAAATAGTATCCACTTTATTTACTCTGTTCTATTTGCTTTTTGCAACGTTTCATCCTGAATCGCTGAGAGACACTCAGAGTTGTGCAAAAAAAACAGCCCATAGTTGGAAGCAGAAGGTTCCTGCTACTCTGTTAAGGTAGGAATACATTAAAAAGAAAACATTTATGATTAAGCATTGTTTCATACTTAAAGTTGTTTTTTTCTCAGTGTTTCTCTACAGACATGAAGTTGTTGCTCCTTGTCACCTTTTTTGCACTAGCTGACTTTGACTACAAAAGAAGAAGTGTACACTCGTGTCCAGATCGGTGCTCCTGCTCTTTTCTGTCTGCTGAGGTGGTATGCAGCAATGGTGGCCTCACAGTTTTTCCAAGAACTGGGTTTCCCTCCGCCACCACAATATTGTCCATCCAAAACACAAACCTTCGTAACATTACTGGTGGGGATCTGAGTGCTGTGCCACTCCTAAACAACCTACAGCTGTATCACTCTAACCTGGCGAACCTTACCTCAGATCTACTGGTATCCGTACCTCACTTGGAAACTTTGGATCTCACAGGAAACAAGCTAGTAAAACTGCCTGCAAATGTCTTCACCCACCGCTCACTTAGCAACCTGGTGTTGAAAAATAATCAGCTAGGTGAAGCAGACCCAGCGTGGTTTTCTCAAAACAGCAGCCTCCTCTATCTAGATTTGTCTGGTAACCGTCTGACCAGCATCTCTGCAGCTCTGTTCAATAAGATGCCCCTTCTGCGAACCCTAGACTTGGACAATAACAATCTGCAAGAGCTACAAGCTGAAGTGTTCAGGAGCCTGGATCACCTAGAGACTCTTAATCTCGCTGGAAACAAATTGATAACCCTGAAACCTCAAATATTTGCTCACAATCTTAAACTTAAATATCTGTACCTGCAGGAGAATCAGCTGCAGGATCTACCAGCGAACCTCCTTCATAGACTGCAACACCTTGAGCTTCTGCTGCTAAACCAGAATCAGCTTCGCCACCTCCCAAAAGGCCTACTGGATGGAATAAATCCCTCTTTGCAAATGATCTTGTCAGGGAACCCCTGGGATTGTGATGGGAAGATGGAGTACCTGTGGAAGTGGCTCACCAACCATCGCCAAAATGTTCTCTTTGACGAGGAGGTGACTTGTGATCAGCCAAAGCCACTGAAAAGTCTGCAAGTTTCCTCTTTAACTGTAAGTCAGCTTGGTGTAAGATTAGAATAAATTGTGTAATGAGAAAATATTGAAAGGTAAATAATTGAACTTGATTCCATTTGGTTATATCACAAAAAAAAAGAAATACTGATAAACATTAGGGTGATTTCCTACAATGTTTTAATTTTTTTTTTTTCACTTTTCAAATTACTCAAGGTGACCGCCATGAAGTCATTTACAGTATCTTTGCTAAAAATATTCAAGCTGTGTCATTTTCTGTCCTGTTATAACCTCAGTGCCTATTATTATATTAAATGTGAAAAAAGCAAAATAGTGCACCATTGTGAAATGTAAGTAATCCTATGTCCTGTAAATTTTTTCCAATGTACAAAGAAAAAGGTGCAATATACAACTGTATTAATGTCAATTCTAACTCAAGAAATAAACTGACACTGCAAACACTATGTGTGCAAAGCTATTTTTATAAGTCTCTATGAGTTGCACATTTATCAACTGACTCTTTTAACAGTTTTTCACAAAAAAATGCCTCAGTTTGACCAGCTACATTGTCTGTGGACTTCATTTTCCAAGTCTTAGCATAAATTCCTTTTTTATTACCTGCAGGAAGGTGATTGACATGTATTAGTTTTGATTAGTATGATGTTGCTGGGTTATTGTGTTGAAAGAGTAAAGTTTAGTTTTACTCCTGCTCGGTCTGATGTGTTCATTGTTCACAATGATGCAACTGGTTCTTAAAAAGAATACATACTAACATACTGGTTGATGATTTTCACTACATAGTTTACTTTGAAAGATAATTGCACCTTTATTTTATTTAGTTTTTTATTTTTATTTTACTTTATTTAGAGGTTATGCAATTATTCTTATGGATATTATTAAAATGTGAAATATTTTTAATTAATGGCTAACATCTTTGCATAATTATAAATGAAAATTCAAATTATTAATATTTCTTAACCAAAATGTCGTAATTATGTTATAGGATATAGCTCACTCTGGTTGCATACAGAGCTTCTGTGGAAGATAAACATGTCCTGCTGGTGTATGATTTGTTTTGGGTTTTTTTGGGGTGGACCTTCCTGTAGATTTACAGAGGTATGATAGTCAACAAATGGACAGGTAGCAAATAAGGAAGTACCGGGGATTGGTCAGTTAGCACCTTCCATCAAAATTGTGAAAATAGGTAAGAAAAGTCTAAGATCCAGAGCGACCACAAACAAATATTTTATTCCAGTAGTGATAAAGTCACTGATGCTGGTCCCAAAGCTGTGGAGGAACTCAGATGTCCCCGTGTAGGTGAGTAAACATCCATATTAGCACTAATACTAGTGATAGCAATGATAATCTTAGTCTCTACATGGTTGTTGCCTATTTGAGAGCTGATATAAATATGACAAAATTAAATGCCTGCCCAGGCATGATTAAAGTAGCAAAAAGAGATAAAAAAAAAAAAAACTGATGTTTTTTTTTATGTTGTTGTTTTTATATTGTTTGTTTTGGGTTTTTTGGAAGGCAGACTGCTTTGGTTCTCAGCTGTGGTCCTTGGATTGGCTGCAGGATCAGTTTAGGACAAATAGGGAATGGTTGCCATTCAGGTGGTTCACTGTGGCTCAGTTGACTCAGGGGAGGAATTTCACATATTAAATAATTCTTAGGATCCTCTCTGCTCACTTTTAGGAACAGAGCCAGTAGCTTTGATGGGAATGGCTTAAACTGGGAGTGGTTTTGGAATTCTGCTGATGTTCTCTACAAGCTTCTGCTTCAAAGGAATGATGAGGAAATGGTAGGTAGGCAGGCTCGGCAGGCAAGGATGCAGCACAATATGGTTCAGTTGCATGTACCTATGGCTTCCTCTTGCTTTTAATCACTTATGGTGGGATGTCAAAACTGAATGGAATGCTGGGAGCTGTTTCTACAGTTTATCATGGCCTAATATGGGTGTTATTGCAAAGGGATCTAAATATATACTGTTTTTAATTTTTATTTATGTCCTAAAACGTGTCATTTTCATCCCACTACTAAAAAGGTTTTGGTCCATTCTGCGGTTGTATGCACAGTGATCACTACAATGTACAGTTGTTTAAAAGTGTTTTCTTCAATTTGGAGCACCTATGTACAGTATGTAGTCCAATCTAGTGGATGTTATTGCATCATCCCATACAGAAAAATCCCATTTGCTGATCATTGAAATTTCAGTGAAACCAAGATAGCAGACACATAGACCAAACACCTTGGCTATTTCAGTTTCTGCAGGGGAGAAGAGGGACCACCATTTTAACAGAATACCATGTTACAACTAGAAAACTAAATTACAACTACATTACAACAACTAAATTGCAACTAATTTGTTGTTATATCGATTTTGTTTTACAGTATAAAATGCATAAAGTGCACTTGAGTGGACAGATAAATATTTATTAAAATAAAATAAAGATTAGAATAAAATCAAACATTGCTTTAAATCCCTAAGGATGTATAAAAACACAAACAATCCTGAATGAGTTTATCATAATTCATGCATGAGAGGGTTAATACAAAAGCTTTTTTAGTTATCTGTGGTAATTAATGGATCATTTTCATGCTAATCTTATTTGATCTGTAAAACGGCTAAAGAGTTGCAGTTTTTATATTCAAAAACTAAATATAGTAAAAAAAATTTAAAAAGCAGTAGTAATGAGCTGTAATAAAGCCTTGCATATATTAGTGAAGAATTGCTTGAACATTAAGCTCTCTTAAGATTCCCTGTAGATAGTCTTGGAGTGCAGCATTACAACAACAGATCTGTCTAACTCAGCTGTATCACAGATTGCTGCATTTTTCCATGATGCCCTTTTGTTTTTAATGATGCTCAGTATGTGGGTGTGTGTGTGGGCAATGAAAATGGCTGAGTCTTGAAACTGACCTCTCCTGGATGTGCTTAAATGTCTCCCTCTTTCTATTTTCTTTTGCTCTTTTCTCCCTCAACTTGTATATTTGTACATTGTATGTGTGGACAGACTGATCCTGGAGACTTGCTCACAATGAGGTGTGCAGGACTCCCTTAAAAACTCTCATAAAAGATTAATCATTGCAGTCTCTTCATACTGGTACATAAAAAGGAAACAGCTCCCCAAAATGCAAAAAGAAAACCTGAGATGTTTGATGTGTGTTTCTTTATGTTTGTGTTAATTGTATTCCGAGAGTTAAAGGTAGAGGAAGTGGGCTGGATGGTTGAAATCCTAATTGCCTTTTATTAGAACTCCCTCTGGATTTGAACATCTGTTTTGAGTAAAGTGAGTGTTTTCCTCTTTCCTTAGAACCCCCCTAACTTCCCCTTAAGTAGGACATTTAATCTGTTTGTGCTTCTCCAAACCCCAGGAATGGACATCTGAGTGGACAACGCTGTCTTTATTGGATAAATTACAGTCACCAGTATACAGGTATGGTGTTTCCTGGATGGCAGTCTGTCCTTTGGTATTTGTTAATAATTACTGAATAACAGAGAAAACTAAGAGGTATTAGGTAAATCTTTCAGGGATTTATTATTTTTTTTTTTTTGCAATGAAGCATTCTAGAGTTGGACCTAAGAGCCCATTTTTTCTGCCCTGGTGGGATTTGTGCTACAACCCAGCTGTTGCACCACTGAGGGGGCAAAAGGGGAAAAATGGCAAGACCAACTATTTTACTGGCCTCCATGACCAGACAGTCCCATATATATGCATAAAAATGTCTGTCAATTTAGAAAATAAATTTTAATTAGTCAGCAATTTGCAATAATTATATATCTAGATCAAAAAGCTTTTGTTTTTATTTTACAGTAAGTGTCTCTGAATATCTGTCATCCACTTCTGGCTCACCCATTACGTGGTATTTAGATCATATAGGAGAGTCACATTCTAATTTTAACATTTTAAATCATGAGCATTAAATTCTGAAAATTTTAAAACAAATAAGTTTAAAGAAAATGCACTCGTCAGATTTTTGGTATTTGATAGCATGAATCTAGTAGGTATTTGTCAAATATCTAACAAGAAAACTTTTTTTCCTTAAGAATTAGATTCGTTTACCTTTGCTTTCCCTGTCCCAAGATTATCAGTGCATATTACAAAATGTAACATGAGGTTGATGTTGTTGCCTCAATGTTAGACCTCTGACCTACCAAAGGAGAATCTCTTTTGATATATCTGATTCTGAAACAATACACTGTGAGGATACATACATATCTTTTTTTATTTAATTATATTTTTTTAAAACATGGTAACAAGAATACTAAAGCCACTGCCTCATCTGTTATCCTTTGCAGACCCTCAGTCTGCACCAATGAAATTAAATTCAATATTGCTTTCTGAATGCGTGAAGTTACAGAAATGTAGGTTTTGAGATATTTTTAATTAATTTTATATCATAACTACTCAACCTCTAGAGGGCACTCTTACCCTGGGTATGTAGCAAAATGGGACTTTTTAGATTGACAAATCAGATATAAACTCATAGTTTAATGTAAATGGAAATAAGAAAAAACAAAATGTTCTTAAAGGAAGGTCACATCTATCCATCAACTATTTTAAGCACCACCTGGTGTGGTTTCAAAGATGAAGTGAAAAGGACATTAAAATGTGCTCTTATGGATAGACACAGGTAATACACTAATTGGTCTAAACAGAGGCTGTGCAATACGTCAGCTGATAACTATTTACAAAGAAAACTCATTTACAAAAGCACACCTACAAGACAAAAAATTATTTTGTATCTTCTGCACTGCACCCTTTTCCCTTCATCATTGACATTTCTTCGGTCAAACTAACCTTTTAAAGTTCAGCTAAGGCTGCAGTTAGAAAGACGTTAGATTCATTAAAAGCTATCCTTAAGGTAGGCGAGAAAAGTCACACCGCTTCTGCTTTTAGAAGCTTGAGGCTATTATTATGAAACACTTAATCCCCATAAAACGTTCCAACAAAGCCTTTTAAAGCTTTTCACCCACAACTGTGAAGACACAGGGTATCAGACTTGCAAGTATTGCTGCTTGCACATAATCAATATATATGAAGGTGAGTGGATGGAAGGGATGA